CAATGGTGTACTTAGCCGTAAAGAACAATGAAGTCTTGATACATTCTGCAACACGGTTGATGCTTGAACCATTATGCTTTGTCCAATAAATCAGACACATTAGGACACTCATTATGTACATGATCCCATTTTAACTGGAATACCTGGATAGGCAAATGCATAGAGACAGAAAATAGACCAGTGATTACCAAGGACTGTGGGAGATGAGAATGGGGAGTTAGTACTTAAGAGGCACAGAGTTTCTGTTTGTGAACATGTCACTTAAATTGTACATTTTAAAATGGCTCCAGTAGCAAATTTAACAGTATATGTATTTTACTGTTTAAAAAAAACAGCTGATGACATTGACAGACCAAAAAATATATTTTTTTTTAACTCCTGCATTAAATGAAAAAGTGCAAAAGAGGCAGGCAAGTGATCTTGGGTAGCAGGACTCAACACCAGAAAGCTGCAAAGACCCATTATGTGACTCTACATAGAGAGACAACTCTAAACCACCACAAGGCTTGTTGAAGTGAGGACCACAGGATAGCAAGCAACTCAATTTTTACTTTACTGTGGGAAAATGAACAAGAATTACCAAAATAATCTGGGGGAAAAGGAAAAGGGCTAACAGAAGAAACCACAGGAAAATATCTGATAATTCTGAAATGGGGAAGAACTCTCAAATTACGATTACAAACAAAGAAAGCAAAACTAATCATGTACACACATCCTCACCAGAGCCTTCAAAGACATAAATCAACTATGTAAGAGTCAAACATGACTGCATGGTAACAATCATCCAAAAGTAAACTCATGAAGGACATACTAGCGACAATATCAGAGACAAATGCCTACCCTTCCTAATATACAGACAGTTTGAACAAGAGTGACAACCAACAAATTAAAAAAAACGGACTCAAATATATACAGGAAATGTAAAAATCTTCTAAAATGAAGAATGTTCAACCTTAGGAATAAGAATTCAATTCTGAGATAACATTTTTCACATTTGTATCAAAATGGCAAAGATCCAAATGTTTGCCAATTTTTAGCAAAAACATGGTGAAACAGGCACCATCTTCATTGCAGATGGAGGGACTTCATTAGAATATAACCTTTAAAATTAATTCTTAACCATTTTAGCCTACCACCCATTCAAAATTATGTTGCAAATTTTACATCCCGACATAACACGTTTAACAACCAAACAGAAGGCACAATTCCTAATTTTCAATATAGGCAAAGAAAGCCTGTTTTATTAGTAGGATGACCAACTCATCCCAGTTTGCCAAAGACCTTTGTGTTTTTAACATCACCGAGATTTATCTCAGTCCCAAGCAAACCAAGTCAGCTAAAACCTCTACATAGCCCCCAAATGAGGAGGTCAGTGATCCTATGAGACCCATCACAGAAGAGGCACTGACACTAAGTATGACAAACACAAAACCAGCTGCCACCACACTCACTCTTGTGTAGAAAGTCAAAAACGCAAAGAGCTGTGAGTGTAGAGCAACAATCCGCCCATAGAATACCAGCCTTAATTCCTGCAGGGTAATTTACTGCGCCACAAGGTTGGCGGTTCAAACTCACCAGCTGCTCCTCAAAAACCCTCTTCAGGGTCGCTATGAGTCATAAACAACTCCATGGCATATAAAACAATAAGAATCTATTTCATAACTGCTGAGAAGATTAAATTTATTGCCATGTATTTAGAACAGTAGCACATTTAAGAGTCGAGTAATTTTTAGAAACTAGTAGTTCCAAGAAGAAGAGTTTGTATTTTCAGAAAATAATGTCTTGAAAAGGAATATTCATCTTAGTTAAGCAAGCTTATAAGCAGCCAGGTAACAAAGATTCCTTAGATTGCACCAGTTGAAGCAGTTTATTCTAAGTAGGGCAATGTATGCAATCTTGTTACCTGGCTTCTCATAAGCATGTAAGAAATAACACCTGGGGTGGGCTTTCATCACATAATTAACAGAAAACATGCCATAACCAACTAGGCTTCCCTCTGGGTCTGTATCATTTAAACTTTGGGAGTCTTAGGTTTAAATCATTTCTCTCAGTGACATGAGCTAATTTGTTTAACTTCTCTGATTCTGTTTTTGCATCTGGCAAACAGGTTTAATACCCAATTTATGAAATTCTTCTAGTGATTAACTGAGACAAAGCATTTGAAGTGTCCAAAGATGTAAATGAGGTTTTCCCTTTCACCACTACTGTTGCCACAAATTAGGTGATGAATGGTAAATGTTTACCCCTATCTTTTCTAATCTAAAGTCTTAAACATAAAGGAATAATCTAAAATACAAAAAATAATGCACTAGACCGGGATGGCGCGCAGCTACCGTTACTGAACATTTTCATCAAAGAAAAGTGATCAAAAATGGTGAAAGACAAAACAAAACTGCAAGTTCTCATGGACTCTAGTTTTTACAGGGCCATGGAGGGTGGATGAACCCCTGAAAACTATTGCCCTGAAATAATTTTTAAACCTTATACCAAAAATATCCCTTAAGTTCTTAAAGCCAAATAGTTGCGTTTAACCAGTAAAAAAAACAGCTCTGCTTTGAACATCATGCTCTTTTAAGAGTTATCAATAATCTCCAGACTACAAGTCACAAGGCCAGCAGTTCAAGCCCACCAGCTGCTCCACAGGAGGAGGTGGCGGCAGCTTCCTGCTCCCTTGAAGATTTAAAGCCTCAGAAACTCCAGCAGGTGTCTCTATGAACTGGAACTCACTGGGAGGCACTTGACAACAACAATATGGGATCAAACTGGCCAGAGTAAACTGGTAAACTGGAAAGATCTGACGGAGCCTCAGGGACAATGAGCTTCTGTGATTGAAAGAGAACAACTTGGGAGGAGGCTGAGGAGGGCTGCACACTTTGAGGAATGGAATCCATGACACTGAATTGTACTAAGAGACACTGTGGAATTGGTATATATTTTGTTGTGTACATGTTCCACAACAACAAAATAAAATTTACAGAAAAGAAGACACCTCACCAAGGGAGCAGAGATGGGGCCCTGGGTTTGATTCCTGGCACGTGCACCTCCTGCAGCTATCTGCAGTGGAAGCTGACGGGCTGTTACAGTGCTGAACAAGTGTCAGCAGAACTAACAGACCAACAAGGGAGGCCAGGGCGTCTCCTTCCCCAGACCCTGTGGGTCACAGTGGCCTGATCAGAACTGGTGTCCAACTCCTGGAGTCAACATGAGTGGGGGGCCGAATGGACTGCGGATCACCAATAAATTGTAATCGGGGTGTGTGTGTATGAACATGTTTTACTCTTAACCTGAAATTTTCACATCTAGATCATATTAATAACACCAACTAAAAGCGTTCACATGCCAGGAATTGTTGGAAGCACTTACTGGCTTAATCCTCATTACCCTCCAGAGGATGCTAACATTGAAACCCTGACTTTACAGCTAGTAAGTAAGGGACTGTGGACTGGCCTCCAGGTGTCCTCTCCCGTGTTCATTCTTCTAACTAATATGCTACACCACCTCTTAAAACAATGGAACCTCTCAAGTTAGAGGACATCTCAAGGTCAAGTTTTTCAGTTGAAAAGAGGACATCCTGGTGGTCTGAACTAAACATGACTTGACCTCCCCTCCATAGATTACCTAAGAACATGGAGTTGATAGTGAGGTCTCTGCGCTCAGCATCTTTCTGCCAGTCAGTTGTGAATTCTACCTCAGCATGCCTTCCATCTGTAAGGACATCAATCCGTAGCGTGGTAATTTCAAAATTTTCTTCATGAAGCTGCAAAATACATGTTGTTGTGTTGTTGTTTTTTTAAATCAGTGATAAGACCTACTAGGTAGACTGAAAAGACTTTCTCTCCATTAAAGTAGAATACTGCAAGCCCTAACCATCGGTTACAGTACCTTTTTTCTTTTAAAAGTCAACTTATATACAAGGAGTCCTGGTATGATGCTGTGGGTTAATGCGCCAGACTGCAAAGCCGTCTGAACTGCAAGGCTGGCGGTTCACTCACCAGCTGCTCCTTGGAAACCCTATACAGGGTGGCTATGGGTCGGAATTGACTTGATGGCACTTGACAACAACAATATACAAGGAGCTCTGGTAGCGTAGTGGTTATGAATCGGGCTGTGAACCGCAATGTCAGGAGTTCGAAACTACCAGCAGCTATTCCATGGGAGAAAGATGAGGCTTTCTGCTCCTGTAAAGATTTACAGCCTCGGAAACCCTGTACAGGGTCGCTATGAGTCGGAACCGACTCCACGGCACTTAAGAACACCAACAATATTATATAAGGACTCCAGGTATGCCACTGAAGGATCAGCACTGGACTATGAACCATAAGGTCGATGGTTCAAACCCACCAGCTGCCCCTTAGAAGCCCTAAACAGGGTCATTATAAGCTGGAACCACCTCGACAGCACTTAACAGTGTTCATACACTTTGAAAAAAAACCCCACAAGACTCAAAGATAGCACCAAAGATATTACTTTTTTAAAAGATTAGTTTGACAAAGGATGGATTTACAAAAATGGCAACTCTGTCCCAGGATATGGCAGAAGAGCAGGGGGAGCCCTTAACACACTATTCCGGTTCTCCAGTTTCAAATCAGGCTACTCGTGGTATATTCTTTAATAACGGTAGTTTGCAAAGAGCTGAGTGTCAGTTTACAAAATGTTTATTTTGAATCAAAGACTGATAGATTGGAAAACTTAGATCCTGAAACTCCCATGAAGGTAATCAGATTAAGATGAAGTGTTACATATACCTTAGGAAAAGAGATTACCTCTACCTAGGAAAGCTGAAGAATGATATCTGAGCTGTCCGCCTGAAGGATTCACTAGGATTTGTACACAGATGTGGGAATAAGAGCACTTCAAGTAAAAAGATGGTCAGAGGCATAGTGGAATAAGCTTTTTAAGCATTTAGGGGCAGACAGCAAAGGGTTGCAGATGCCAATCTGGAATCTCTCATTAGGAAGTAAAAGTCTCAAAAGAAATGAAGGAAGACTGGAGAGTCCAGATTTTGGTCCAGGAGTCCTCTAAATCTCCATACACACCCTCCCTAGCAATAAGCTAGTTCTTACTATAGAATTCCTAAACTCCCTTGGATTTGAGGCACCAAGTATCCCTGAGGACAAGGTGTAAGAAAGGGGTTTTGAAACAGTAAAGCCATAATAAATCCCAAACTATCATCCAAATATAGACAAAGCCAAGGAACCCCCATAATCTAAGAAAAGTAAATATAAGTGACGGGAAAAGCTCAAAGAAAGGAAATACACATCTGAAATATGAAAAGGAAGCTTTTCAAAGAAAGAGCTACTGAAAAGTTAAATGACAGTAAAAGTTTCAAATAGAAAGGTTGGGAGATGGATTTAAGGCACTTTTGTGGAAGTAAATAGCATGATGGAAAATGAGTTAAAAATTTAGAGGACCAGTCCCAGTGTGTCCAACATCCAAATAATAGGAGCTCCTAATGGAGAAGACCTTCAGCAAAGGGGATGAAGTGATGAAAGGAATCCACGAGGAGACTCCCTAAGTACCCACCACAATAAATGAAAGAATCTAAGTCTCTCCTGCCACCGGGCAAAGAAAGACATCAAGGTGATGGTGGCCATTGAAAAAGTTCGGAAATGGAAGAAAAAATGGGTGACTGTAGGTGACACTTCCTTTAGGATATTTCAGTGGGTTCCTGTGACAGACAACAAGGAGTCTCATTAGAGTGCCTTCAAAAAACAGCGGCTTCTGGACTTCCGACAAGAAGGCAGACTAGGCAGGCACACTACACTGACTCCATACAACAAAGATATGAAAATCCTGGAACCTTGAAATTCAGAGGAAAGGATGGAGAAGTGGATTGAGTGCTTGCTGGCAGGAGAAGTTGAGCAAGGACAGCGAGAGAGGGAGACTGCTGAAAAGCCAGACAGATGCAGCGTGACCACCTTCAATTTATCTAATAAGCAGCTTTAGCAGCAAAAGGTGGGTTCGCAGAGCAGACTCACACAAGTGGCAGGAAATGTGTGCTTGCGTCTTCTTCCCCATGCTCCCCTGGTAACCAGCGATGTGGCCAGCTCCATCCTCATTCAGCCCCAGCACAAACCCTGCTCTATAGGAGTTCGGAGCCCCGTGTGAGGCAGGAGCCAGCTGCATCACTCTAGTACATCGCTTTGGTGCGTGGATTCACGTAAGCTCAACTCCAGGCCTACAGAACTGGCAAAGCCACCAGACCAGCATTTAACCAGTCACCCTGCCCGCATCTGCCCTGACACTGAAACCAGCTCCATGAAGGCCCTCACAAACTGCTTCCGGAGTGAATGTCCTGAACATCGATAGCACCGAGGCTGATGGGAACTCCGTCCAGGGCCAAGAACTCTGCGGTCACCATCCTCCCACACCCACCTCGTCAGCTTCTTGGCTTGCAAGAGCTCCCCCAGAATTTATATTCTTCTTCTCTGAGTACAACAGCTGCACTCTTTTTGATTTTTGTTTTGTTTTTGTGTTTGTGTTCACTGAATTTCTTTTATTGTTTATTTTTTCTCTTTCCATTCCCTTCAATTTTATCATTTCTATCTGGCAATGTAGGATAAACACTCAACCACAAAGTCAATTTGAACCACAAGGCTGGTAGTCAAAATCCACCAGCTGCTCCTTGAAACCACTAGACAGGGTCGCTATGGGCTGGAACCGACTCCAGGCTACTTAACAGTAACAGAATCTGGGCTTTTGTTTTTCCTTCTTGTGTTTCCCACTTTCACTCTTCTTTTCCGCTTATTATTTTTCTTTACTACTCTCTACTCTCTCTTTTCTTCAGTCCCAGTTTGAATTTGCATAGAAGTAATTGATGGTCTGTTCCACAGTCTGCCTCGGGCCTTGTTTTCACTGATGATATGGAGCTTTTCCATTGACTCTTTCTACAGATGTAGTCAATTTGATTTCTATGTGTTCCATGTGGCAAGGTCCATGTGTATAGTCGTCTCTTATGCTGTCTAAAGAAGGTATTTGAAATGAACAAATCACTGGTTTTGCAGAATTCTATCATGCGTTCTCCAGCATCATTTCTATCACCAAGGCCATATTTTCCAACTACTGGTCCTTCCTCTTTGCTCCCAACCTTTGCATTCCAATCACCAGTAATGAGCAATACATCTTTTATCTTTATAGTTACATTCTTTTTTTCTGGTAGCTGCCTGGTTTTATTGAACTTTTCTCCTTTCGTTGTTGATTCCTTGTTTGTTTATTGTGGTTTATTTGCTTGTGTGCGTGTGTGAGGGGTTTTCTCTTTCCCACCAGACAAGAGACAGCAACCATGCCTATACGACCCAACCACAATTCTCTGTAGCTCCACACAATGGGCAAGAGCTCCTATACCAACTGCTAAACGACAGACAGCAGTCAATACCAGCCAAACCCACCCTAAACTGAGGTGCACAAACAGCAAACGAGAACAGTGTACCCACTTCCATTCTCTAACTACACCCACAGAAAACAGTGGTGAGAGCCAATAACACATCAACAGACAATAGCCAGTCATATACAGTATGGCAACCCCACAATGCCTCAGAGACAAGAGACAATTTTAGCTCACATGAAGAAACAAGAGAGACTGGCTCAAACAAGTGACCGAGATGCAGAGTCAGAAAAAGTTTCTGAAGAAGAACAGGTAATGGTATTAACTGAAAAAGAATTCAAGAGAATGATGTTTAGGAACCTTCAAAGGATTGACAGAAAAGGATGAGGAAAGCAATGAGAACACAGAAAAAGTTTTACAAGAATTCAAGAAAACAATGCAAGAACAAACAGACAAAATAAATGCAAATTGTCAAACTACAAAACCTGCTATTAGAAATCCAAAAGATTAATACTAAGATGTCAGAAATGAACAATACAATGAGAAGAAAAAGGAGTAGATTTGAATCAACAGAAGCCTGAATTAGTGAGCTTCAAGATAAATCTCTCAAAACTAGTATGCTAGAAAAACAATCAGAAAAAATAATGGAAAAATGAGAACAAAGCCTAAGACTTACATGGGACAGGGACACCAAGAAGAGGAACAACTTACATGTGACTGCAATTTCAGAACAGGGAAAGACAAACAGCATAGAGCAGATGGATGAAGAGTTGTTGAAAGAAAATTTGCATAGAATCATATCATCAGAGAAGATAAGCATACAAGAAGCTGTGAACAAACCCCAAATAGAATTGATCCTAAATGAAAATTACCAGGAGATACTACAATCAAACTTTTCAAAACCAAAGACAAGGAAAGAATCCTGAAAGCAGCTTAGAGAAAACAGAAAATTACCTAAAAAAGAAAGCCAGTAAGACTAAGCTCTGATTTCCCAGAATAAACCATGCAGTCAAGAAGGTAATGGGGTGATATATTCAAAACTCTGAAAGAAAAACAATGCCAACCAAGAATGACACACCCAGCAAAGCTCCTCCTGAAATACTACAGCACAATTAGGACAATTCCAGAAAAGCCAAGACTAAAGGAATTGTAATGACCAGACCAACTTCATAAAAAATGCCAAGGGATATTCTTTGAACTAAGAACCAACAACAGGAGACAACAACCTGAGATTTTAATACAGGACAAAACCACCCAGAACTCAGTCCAGACATAGAAGTATTTAAAGTAAAAACAGAGATCCAGAAACATCACAGTTTATAATGAATTCAACTACAAAACAAAAAGTGGGAATAGTACAGATACAGACATTCCAAAGGCAAGGAAGCTAAGTAGATTTCAAGATAAAAGATTCCCTCCCATCCAGCACAAGTATTAAAAGCATTTATTCTAAAAGAGCTCTGGTAGCGTGGTGGTTACGAACCACGCTGTGAACCTCAAGGTCGTCAGTTCGAAACTACCAGCTGCTCCGCAGGAGAAAGATAAGGCTTTCTGCTCCCGTAAACATTTACAGCCTCGGAAACCCTGTATAGGGTCGCTATGAGTCGGAACCGACACCACGGCACATAACAACATTCTAAAACAATAACGAACATAAAACTTCATAAAAGAAAATTATGTGGAGCAAAGAAACCAGTGACACTACAAAAAAAGATGAGGCTTTCTGCTCCCATAAAGATTTACAGCCTTGGAAACCCTGTACAGGGGCGCTATGGGTCAGAACCGACTCCACGGCACGTAAAAACAACATGAGTGGGCACTAACTCAAAGGCACTAAGCACAAGGTGCACCGACGGTGACTGGATTAAATGCACCAGTCAAGAGACAGAGAAAGTAGAATGGCTAAGAAAACAGGAACCATCAATATGCGGTATACAAGGGACACATCAAAAGCAGGGAGACAGTCTAAATGCCCAGCAACAGACAGATGGTTACACAATAATGATGAATCTGTAAAACACCTCACGACAAGGTTGAAGCTAAAGGACATTATGCTGAGTGAAACTAACCACAAAAGGACAAATACTGTATGAGACCAATATTGTAAAAAGTTCAGAAAAAGAAACCTGATGGTTATGGTGTGGGGGAGGGAATTATTCACGAGCTGGAGGGTAGACATGGTGACAGGGCAGACAATATATAACAAGAGGAAGGGAAGTGGCAGAGGAAAGATGAAGGTAGTAGGAGACACGGAGGAGTGCATAGAGATAAATACTGTGAACTGATAGTACATGGAGAGGATTACAGTCATTGTAATGAAGCAAAGTGTATGATTTAATTGAACTAATGCTCTGTTCTGCAAACCTTCACACAACTCACACACACAAAAGCTTCCAACGGGTCGGTTACATTCAAAGCAAGAGGTCAGCTCAGAAGGTTGTGGTGACCACTTTGGGGACTGCAGAGAAATATTCTTGAAGGACACAGGATGAGCACAGGTTTATTAGGAATAAGTTTTATAAAATTTGAAAATTGCATTGGTGAGAAAAAGGCCAGCAAAGTTTCACTGAAGGATTTTTTTCTGTAATCACACTGCACCTGCTGATTCTGTGAGGGCAGCAAGAGCTGTCCTAGGAGAATTTCACTGGGCAACCGAAGCCCACCTATCCTACAGCCCTGAACGTGCCCCTTAAGGCACTGTTTTGTTCCTTCAAGGATGCCCAAAAGTGGCATTTCTACATGTTGTAAAAATCAAAGAGCCCAGAATTATTGGTACAGGGTTAGAGAAATAGAAACAGCCCTTTCAGGAGTGAACAGACCTAGGTGGAAGATATGTAGAGAAACGACAGCTTCACATTTTGCTATTTTTGTTTAATAATGATTTCTATGATTTTCTAGCAATACTTTTGGATTTAACCCTCATGTATGCTTACTATAATACAACAAGTAAAAGAATCAAAACGAGGTACCCAATCTTGAAATTAAAAACACTTTACATAAGAAAAAGGCGCCCTGGTAGCACTTAGCTCAGCTCAGCTGCTACCGAAAGGTCAGCGGTTCAACTCCTCCGGCCACTCTATGATGAAAGATGAGGCATTGTACAGCCCCATGGAAACCTATAGGTCATTATGAGTCAGAGGTTTACAGATAAGGTCATAAAGACTTCCAAAAGGAAAAATAAATGGGACTTAAGCAAAAGAGAAATTGGAATGAACAGGATCTTGTTAGTGGCGTCACTGGAAACTAGAAAATCTTGGCAGACCATGACCTTTAAATCTCTAAGTGAAAATTCCAAAACAATCAAACCAGTATGAAGGTAAAGTAAAGGTATTTTTATTACCCATGCACTCTGCACAGAAAGCTACTGGTGGTTTGGGTATTATTAAGATGAGGATCTAACACAAGAAGGAATACCACATGGTTTCCGAAACACAAGATTTGGATATAGAAGAGAGGCCAAGGAAATCCTAATGATTCTACCAAGAAAACCCCAGCATGAGGGCTTGGAACAGACCCAGAGAGCAATCACTTCAGATTGGAGCAGAAGGACAGAGCGGATCCCGTGAGGGTGCTCACAGAGAAACCAACAGGGCACAGCAGTGTGAGTCTGTAAGGCTAAGAGTGTTCCAGTCTGACACAGAGTACAGGATGTAAATGAGGGGGTCCTGAAAACTATGGAAAAGAAACATGGTATTAACTACAAAGAAAAGAGGAAACAAGCCGCAGGAGCCACCTAACCGTAAGGTGACACACAATGAAGCTGTAAACCACACAAACTCATAAATGTAAACCCTGAGGCCTGATGGAACCACAACAGACTGGGAATGTGAGAGAAGCACAATGATGTGTGTTTGTTGAGGAGTTCAAACTTCTTCCCTAGTACAGAGTCCATGTTATCAAGTGCCGTCATGTTGGTTCTGACTCACAGCGACTCTGTATAGGGTTTCCAAAGAGCAGCCAGTGAGCTTGAACAGCCAACCCTTCTGTTCAAACCGACCTTGCAGTCCAACACACTAACCCACAGCGCCACACCATCACTCCGGAAGTCAATCGGTCAAAGATAACATCTTAAACCTTGGAAATTAAAACCCAAGCAAACACAGAACTGCAGCATGCGAAGGCCTTTTTTTAGAAATGTGGACAGAAAGGGTAAAACTCAATAAAAGTTGTTGCAACAAAGGTGGATAAATACGGATTCTTTTTCTTTGGGGCAGTGGGGTGAAAGGAGGGAGACTAACATTTTTAGATTACATTTGTTATTTCCTTTTTAACTAGAAAAACCATTAAAATTTTAAAATTACCACCGAAGCAGTGTAATTAAAGTATGTTGTTGTTTGTTGTTAAGAACCATTGAGTCAGTTCTGACTCACAGGAACCCTGCAGTGGGTTTCACTCACCCTGGCAGTGATTGTTCCATGTTTTTCTCCTTTGTTGTTGATCATACGAATCCCGGCAGACTGAAACATCTCCTTCATTTGAGCGGGGGTGGCCGTAGTTGCAAAGTCCACATCTTGAGGTTTTACTCCATTCAATAAATCCCTCACTGCTCCTCCTGCTATTCTTAACTCATGATTTTCTTTGACAAATAACTCTGGGATGAGAAAAGAGAGATTCTTATTTCAATGTGTTTGTTTCAACACTCAATTACAGAGTTTTTCAATCTATTAGAAATACTCAAGACCATTTAGCTGAACAGGTTCACATGGAAAATGAGAAGTCAAGTGAGTTCTCTGGGCAAGCAGGCAACTGCTGAACTTTTCTCTGTAGATTCAGATGGTAATTCATAATTTCACAATGGTCTAAGGTCATCAATATCATCTGAATTAGCACCAAAGAGTAAAGCAAACAACTCTACTCTCTTTTTCCAGTTGATGAGCATACCTCAGACATGATGGCTTGTTCTTGGCAGAACCCCTCTTTGTGTATAGACGTTGAGGTTATAAGCTCATGCAACCTTTCCAACAACCAGGGTACAGACATTAGATCATCACATTACTTACAAAAAACATCAGGGCTTAGAGTCCTTCAAGAAATACTATGTGAATGATGTTTAGAGATCAACTCACTTATCTGTTGGTGGTGTGGTGATGGTAGTGTGTCATGGAGTCAGTTCCGACTCATAGAGACCCTATACAGGGTTTCAAATCTTTATGGGAGCACAAAGCCTTTCTCCCGTGGAACAGCTGGTAGTTTCCAACTGCTGACCTTGCGGTTTTCAGCCCAATTCGTGAGGTCCTATGAACACCACAGGAGACCCATAGCTGACTCCTGTAGAGGTACAGGGGCCAAGCAAAGTCCACTATCACTATACCCCAATGACAACAGGACACCATATAGAATCCAGTAAGAAAGACAGTCAGGAGCTGGTCTCCAACGGCTGACTTGATTCTCAACCACAGGCCTTGGTGCTCTCCAGCTGAACACACATAAGCTTATTTCACAAAACTCCAACATCAGACAAAGCCATTCTCCAACCCTGATGGGATAAGACAAAAACAAGACCACTCCATAATCAAAACCCATAAGCATGACCCAAACCACCACAACCATGACCACACATTCCCCTGCCCTACCTAGAAGGAGTCATTGCTGCTTCTTTAAGAACTGCAGATTCAGTCTTCGTTTATGTATTCCCTTCTTCTTGATGTGTTAAGATACCCAATCATAGGATTATCCCCCACTTCCTGACAGTATCTAATCTACCCTACTTACTTACATCCTGGCTCAAAAGAACCAGACAAAACCAATCCTGTTAAGTCCTTTCTAATATCCATTTACCAGGTGTCTGAGGGGCACAAATGGTTTGCACTCAACTAACTTAAAATCCTGATGTGGAGCTGTAGGATAAGCACTGGACTACTAACCACAATGCCATCAGTTCAAACCCAGCAGCCACTCCTCAGAAACGTCAAACAAGGTCTGTATTTACTGAGTCAGAACCGACTCGATGGCACTAAACAACCCCCTCAGAGTTGGCGGCTCACACTCAACTCACCCAGCAGCACTACGGAAGAAAGACCTGGAGATGTGCTTCTGTAAAGATCTGTTGTTGTTTCATGCCATCAAGTCAGTTCCAACCCAGAGCTTCCGAGGAATGGCTGGTGAGCTTGAACCACCGACCTTGTGGTTCAAACCAACTTAGCAGTCCAGTGCATTAACCCACAGCGCCACACCACAGCTAAGAAAGCCCTATAGAGCAGCAACAACTAGACGGTGACTCACGGGGTCACTGGGAGTCCGGATCAACTAGATGAGATGGTAAGTAATGGGTGTTTCTTCTTTGCACTCCCTTACTGAGATGCCTCATGGTTCCCTTATGTTGGGGTTCCTACTGAATCCAAGGACTAACAAACCAACTTATTTAACTACAGATGTGTTCCCGATGGTCTTTGGCTCACAGTAGCATTTAAACTCATCAAATACCAGAGTTCTAGTATCCTTGAGCACAACTCAAAACAAAGTCCCCCATCCCAACCCTAATCAACTAACATCTTCTGTTCTTTCTCATCCACCCTCCTCTTCCACCTATTTTGTCCAAACCTTTCAGCTCTGGTCTCTATTACTGTTAAGTGCCGTCAAGCTGGCTCTGACTCACAGCAACCCTGTATACTGTTTCCAAGGAGCCACCGGTGGGTTTGAACCACCGACCTGGTAGTTAGCAGTCCATAGCCTATCCTACAGTACCATACCTGGGTCCTTTGCTTTCTGTGTTGTTCTTGTGAAGTGCCGCCGAGTCGATTCCGACCAATAGCAACCCTGTATAGGGTTTCCAAGGAGCAGCTGGTGAGCTTGAACCGCCGACCCTGCAGTTCAAACGACTTTGCAGTCTGACGCATTAGCCCACAGCGCCACACCAGGACTCCTATAGCCTCCCTATAATGATTGACTAAAAAGTCAACTCAGTTTCTATACCGAAAGCTCCCTTCCCTCCAGTTTCTTGGAGTAACTAAAAGTTGACTCTTTCACAGAGATCACCTCCATGAGCTCTCTCCAAGCACAAACATTCATTATCCTGCACTCCACATTTCCTGTCAGGATCACTGACTCATCGCTCTTAGTATGGTCCCCTCACGTTAAAAGATAAAAATCTGACGTTAGTTCACAGCTTTTATGACATTTATAGACAAACCCATTTTCCAGTTGGTGAAGGACCACTAAAATGTAAGGTTTCATGAACCTATTTCCATTTTCCCCTTAAGTCCTAGGCCTTGTACCTCCAGCCTAAGCAAAGGTCTCACAACAGCATCCTCATGTATCTCCCCTTCTCTAGCGCCACACTATTCAACCTCCACAATCTGGACACAGGGCTCTGAAATACCAGGAAAGTCAGGCTAGCCGATTCCTCCTCCTAACTACTCATAGAGTCCTGGTGTGGCGCTGTGGGCTAATGCACTGAACTGCAAGGTCAGAGGTTCAGTCTCCCCAGTCACTCCACAGAAATCCTATCCAAGGTGCTATGAATCAGAACTGACTCGATGGCAGTTAACAATTCCTCATACAATGACCAAGTGAAACGATGCCTCCTCCTAACTACTCATAGGATGAGCTCCACAGTTCTCAACACAAAATAAAAGGGTCTTCTTGACCTATTTCTGACTCATGTCTCACCAATCCACGTACCACACTTCACACATGCACCTACCTCTCCTCAGACTTTCCCTCTAACTGTGCTCATGCGGATCACTTCTTCAGCCAGCTCAGCATCTGATTGTCACTCTTCTGAGCCCACAACCCACTAGTATAAAGCATTATACTAGCTTCATGAAATAATATTTACCATTGGCACCTCCCTGGAATACATTCTACACTAGTCTCTCTCCCAAGCCCTCTCCGTTTAATGCTGTCATACACACTCATTTGACTTTATGCTCCACAAACGGGTCTGAAAGCAGGGACCTAAGCTCTCTAGAAGGTTAAGTTTCACTTTCACTTGAACCTGATTTAAATAACCAGATGAAAAAGACCACAGGTAAACAACAACAAAAAAAAAACGGACAGAGATCATGCTTGTTGTTATTGTTAAGCGCTGCTGAGTCAATTCTGACCCATAGTGACCCTGTATAGGGTTTCTGAGGAGCGGTTGGTGAGCTTGAACCACTAACCTTGCAGTTCAAACCGACTTTGCAATCCAGTGCACTAACTCACAGAGCCACATCAAGATTCCCAAGAGACCATGTTAACCTCACTGAAAGTTCAAAGTCACTGAGTAAATTAACTGCCCTAAAGAAAAGAGGTTAGCATTCAAAGAAGTCTATCATTTTGATTACCTCCATGCTATGTCGTCCTGGTGGAGCGCTGAGGGTTAGCACTGACTGTAAGGGTCACTGTTAGTGGAAACTGACTCGATGACACTTAACAAGAGCAGGCTGTAGGTAGGCACCAGTCACTCCTCAGAAACCCTATGGAAGGTCGTCAGAGTCGGAACGGACTCAACGGCACTTACTAACTACACTGTTAAATGGACTCGCAGTGTGCTGCTATAGAACCAACGCTGGACTGCAAACCACAAGGGCAGGACTTTAAACCCACCAGCTCCTCCTTGGAAACCCTATACAGGCCATTATGAATCAGAACCAACCTGAGAGCATTTAACAACTATGTTTTTAGTTATTTCCAAAACACAGTTCAAGATTTTTAAAATAATATTTTAACACAATTGAGAAAGGCATAAAAATATAAATCTTAGTGTCATAAAAACTATATAAAATACACAATTTTAGACTGACCAGCAGCTCCTTGGAAATCCTGTACAGGGTTTGCTATGGGTTGGAAGCAATTTGACGACACTAAACAGCATGTTCCGTGGGAGAAAGCTGAGGCGTTCTGCTCCCGTAAAGATTTACAGCCTCGGAAACCCTCGACTCCATGGCACTTAACAACAACAACATATAGCAACAACAATACAAGAGAACAAAACTTTAAACCACTGGCAGGGAGGCAATTGTGACTCACAGCGACCCTACATGAAAGAGGAGAGGACACTGTCTCCCAGGGTTTCCAGGGTTAGAATCTTTACAGGACTTATAGAGACTGCCATATCAGTCTCCCTCAGAGCAGCAGGTAGGTTCGAACCACCAACCCTTAAGTTAGTTACTAAGCACTTCAACCACTGTGCCACCAAGGCTCCCTAACCAAACTTTGGCTCCTTTATTCCATCATTACTGGCATCTTTAATTTTCAGAAATTTGATATTCTAGTCAACTTTGCAAGCTGCATACATACTCAGTAAAATGACACCTAATGTAATTCAATGTAATTGTACATTTAAGTCTAATATTCAGGAAACAGAATCTCATCATTCCGAATTGTGTTAATTTGTTCCAACTGCTTCATCTGATAGGAAGCTGTTGTTAATTTTTCTCATTAGAAATCCAAAAGACTGTTGTTAATGTGGAAGAAAACTTTATAATGATCTTTTCATTTCCATTTCTATTTTAATTTTGAATCAAATTTTCATTAACTTCTCTTAACAATTTTGAATTTTGAGTATTAGAGGTTAGGGGAGGTACAGGTAGGCAGAAGCATTTACATGACAAGACCACCACTCCCAGAATCTCTGGATTCCTAGTGTCCACACATCAAAAGAATGAC